GGGGTCGGGAAGGAGGCAGGTGGGGGGGGGGCGACGGCCAGGGCCGGCAGACTCAGACGTGTGGCGAGTCCAGGCCCAGGAGCCGCCGGACGTGCAAGGCGAGGGAGGCCCGGCGGGGGACGAGGGCTTCTGGGGAGGACAGGAAGGTAGGGCGGGTTCACGGGCTGGCAGAGTCTGCCGGACATCTGGAGAGCCCCTCTCCACTTAGACGTGAGCCCTCTTCTGAGCGCCCGGCACGAGAGCTAGGGGCCCTCCCACACGGAGGCACGGAGCCCCCAGCCGGGTCGGTGCGAGTGCTCGGAGGGGCCTGAGGCAGACGCGAGACAGAGGCATTGTCCGGAGCTGGAAACTCAAGACCCAACGGGTGACCAGGCCACTCAGGGGCGCCCAGAGCACAAGAGCTGAGCTGGGGGCAGAGGGGGACCAGGGAGCTGACCCATGAGGGGTGTGGTCCTGGGGGGGGACGCTTCGGAGGCAGGCCCTGAAGTCCAAGCGCCATCCCTGGCCTTTGAGATAAAGACGTCCCTGAGGGGTGACAATGGTCTTGGTGGCAAGCAGGCGAGGTGGGGTGGACCGGGAACTGAAAATGGGGACATTGGTACAGACAGCCCCTTACCAGGGTGGGAAGAGCAGAAAGGCCCCCAGGAGGCGGGAGGGGGGAGGCACAGGTGCACAGCTGGGCGTGCGGTGAGGCTCCCACAGGTGTCCCGACCGCCCTCAGGCGCCGATGCGTCAAAAGCAGGCCCAACTGACGCACAAGAGGCAAAGGGCACCGCAGGTGCAGGGCCCCCTAGGCTATCCCGCTGCAGGGACCGTGCTCGCCGGCTGGTCTGAACTGCAGGCGTCCATTCACACATATCAATACTTCCCTCTGCACACGCACACACGCACACACGTGCATTCGCGGCCACACAGATGCCCCCGCAAATTTGCACGGTGGTTCTCTTCTTTCCAAAGGAAGCCCAGGCCTCTGTGGGCCGGCCCTGAACCAGGGGTTCCGCACCCAAAGCTCCTGGCCCTCTGCCTCTCACCAGGGAGGAAGGGCCCCAGTGCTGAGGGCCGCGCTGGCCGGCACAGGCCGCGAGGCGGGTGGCCGCAGCCCAGCCGGCGGCAGGACGCCCCCCCCAGGAAGGGCCCAGTGGAGAAGTGACGGGAGGGTGAGGGTTCCGGAGCCGACCCACAGGCTGTGACGGCACCGGGAAGCGTGGTCCTGGGAAAGCGGGGGCGTTGGGAGGGGCCGGGGGCCAGCGCCAGCCCACAGCAGCCGCCGGGCCCGGCCACGCGTCGGGTGCCGGAGCTCTCACCGCGGCGCCGTTGTCGTCCCGGAAAACCTCCTGGTTGACGTAGTCAAAGACTTTCTTCTCGAGCTGCAGCATCACCTGCCAAGGGAAGGGCCGTCAGCGCAGGCGGGGCCGCAGGGCACGGCGCCCACCGCACCTACGGGTGCTCACCGTCCGGTCGTTGTCCGACTCTCGGAATATCAGCTTCACGACTTCGTTGGTGTCGGCGGCCCGGACGGTCTGCATCGTGGCCTTTGTGCAGAGAGTCTGGGAACGACACGGAAGGAGCTGAGTCCCCGGTGATGTGCCAGCCCGCTGCCCGCCGGCACCGCGCCCCGACCTCGGCTCAGGGGCTCACACCTCCCGTGAAGGGACCCGCGGCTCCAGACACGGCGGGGCCGCACACCCGGCCCTCTGCCCGCCGCCCCAGGCTGCCCCGAGGACCAGGGACCCAGGGGGCCTGTGGAGGCTCCGCGGGGAACAGTCTGACGGGCGGTCCTCCACAGCCACAGGGGGAGGGACGGTGAAGGGCAGCCACACAGGCCCCGGGGGCAGCACGGGGGACACAGAGGCCACGCCGGGGGGCCCTGGGCAGGGACGCCCACCAGCTGCGGCGGGGCAGACGGAAGGGCACGGGTGACAGGCTGACTGCAGATAGGCTGAAAACTCTATTAAATCCAGGCTCCTTTAGAAAATCCCTCCTGTCCCAACCTGGGTGTGGGGCGCGGAAAGGCAGCAGGGTGGGGGTTAAACAGGGTCGCTCCCCAGTCAGGACGAGGCTGGAGGCTGGCGCAGGGGCCGCGAGGCCTGGTGCAGTTAGGGGCACCGCAGGGCCACGCTGACCACACCAACACCTCAGAGACGAAGTGCAGCTCCAAACGGGCTGAGAGACACCCCAGGTGCACAGCAAGTGGCGGCGAGGACGCGCGGAGACCAGGGCCCCGCACGCCTCCCTTCGGGAAAGTCCATCCACGCGGAGTCCAGAAAGGACAGAGCAGGGGCCGCAGGGACCAGGTGGGGTGAGAAGGTCACAGCTGAATTTCAGTTTGTGAGCAAGTTATACCTCGATAGAGCTGTTTTTGAAAAAGCACTAGGTGATCTTTATTCAAGAAAGAAAGAAGGAAAGACCACCGCAACTGGACTAATGCTGACTTAAAAACAAAAAAACACCTCTTTGTCTAAGGAGCCCTCGTGAGGTCACTTCACGGCGGAGGCGCTGGGCTCAGAGGCCGCGGGGCTCAGAGGCTCGAAGCAGCCAGCGTTGGGGGAGATCCTCCCACAACAGGCCCGAGGGCCCCGGGCAGCCCGGGAGCCGGAAGCCGATCCCCCTTGGGCCGCGCGCTCCAGGACAGGCATTGACATTCAGAGCACAGACAGCTACTCAGGTCAAGCCCCTCACAGTGGCTTCTGGACTCATGTGTCACAAATCAGTCTGGCCGCCTTCAAACGGTCGGATTAGAACAAGCGCCTGGACCATCCGGCCCAGCGCGGCCACCCTGCCCAGCCCCCGGCGAGGAGGTCACCCCATCCAGATGCTAATGCGCTTAAGTGGCTTAAGCACAGTGAATGGGGAGGGCTCGGCAGGCAGACGGCATTGTAGCCTCTCTGACGTGATTCAGGAAATTCATGGTCTTCTCCCAAAGGCACATCTGCTGAAAACTGTTTTAAAAAATTGCTTTATCTCGCCACTTCAGACGGCCTCGCAAAGGATAAACATCTGACCAGCCCCGCCCTTGGAGGGGCCTCCGCGAGCCTCGGGCCTCTCTCCCACACCCGCCAGGCCTCCTCCCGGGCGGGCCTTTCAATCCGCAGTCGTGACCACTCATGCAGAAACCCCTGGGCCAGGGCCTTTCCGGCTCGCCTACTTACAGGAAGGCGTTTTCCTCTTTTGAAAGGAGAAAAAAATTTCCCAAATGTTATTCTTAACGAGCCGTGTAAGATTTATTTCACCATCAGCAGTGGCAGGAAGGGCAAAGGAGAGGCGGCCCAGCACTGTCCTGCTGGCACCCGGAGCCCCTGGTTTTTCACTTGGAATTTAGGGGCACAGGCTGCTGGGGTGGTGCCCGCAGGACCCGGCGCCGGTGTCAGCCCAGAAGCGCAGTGTGCAGCGTTTTCTGCGAGTCCCACAGTCTTACGGCCACTGAATCCGCGCAAAGCCCCGGGGCTCAGGGCACCTGTGCAGCTGGCCCCGCTCCTCCTCCCAGAGCTGCCCGCCCCATTGCCCTCATCCCGCCGTCACAAACGCTCCCCACCAGGGTCCAAATTCTATGCAGGCAGAGCCCCTGGGGTCCCCACAGGCAAGCCCATGAATGCGGCCTTACAGAACCCACTCTGCTCTCTGCCAGCCCCGTACCCGAGGACAGGCCCTGGGATCAGCCAGGAGCTGGTCAGGAACATTCCGAGTCTGAGAAGCCTGACCTGGGGGATACGGCGGGTTTCAGAGTCTGGGTCACGACACGCCTTCTGCAAAGTCTGGGTGGTAAGTTTCCACCTGTGGAGGTCAGAGGCACACCGGTCGTTTTCTCACTGTAATTGCTAAGCTTCTAAATGGTAAATAAAAGCCACAAGGCTCTCTTCTGTGCATCCACTTCCAGGGGTAGTAGGTATTTAAAAAAAGCATCTCAGTTTGCGTTTACCGATGGCTCGCCAAGGCTTCGGACCCAGTTATTGTGGTTCCAGAGACCCGGCTTCTGTCTGGACCCAGCACGCTGGGCCCGGAGGAAGGGGATCCCCCAGGAGCCCCAGCTGACATGCACCCCAAGTTTCCAAAGGACCCAGTGTAGGCCGGGCCGGTGGGCACCTGTGGTCGGCGTCCAGGATGTGCAGCGTATACAGGGGGGCACGCCTGGGGCTGGGTGTCGGGGTAACTAGAGAGACGGTGACCGTGTAACGGAGCTAATGGAGCCGGGTTCCAGGTGGAGGGCCCTGGAGGGGCAAAGGCCAGGGTGGCAGCGTGAGAGGTGGAGACAGGGCCTGAGGGGGCTGGGGTCAGGCAGGGAGCTGCCGGCGGGCCACACGGTGTGGAGAGCTGGGGGGACGCAGCCTGTCTCACAGGAGCTCCCAGGTGGCCAGGACGGAAATTCGGGGCGTGCCCCATCGTCACAGGCCTGCCCAGCGGCCCAGAGGGTTTGCTCTCTCCTCAGAGGCAAGAAGAGAATCAGAACACACTTCCATTCTGCCTTTTTCCTCCACCTGAGAAAACACAGAAAGTGACGCAGGTATTGGAAGCATATTTTGAATGAACACGAACAGCTGGTCTTGCTTCTGTCTGCAAAGCCCGGTGTGGCCTGGGGACCGCGTCTGGGTCTCTCTCCACCGGAGTCGGGAGTCCCGACATGTGAGCGTGCAGGGGTCTCTGAGGGACCACGAAGAAGCCCCCCGGCCCACAGCCCGAGCGTGGGCCCTGCCCCGCGGGCTCTAGACCCCGCGGAGGGCGCAGGCGCGGGGAGGGGTCAGCAGGCGCTGGGGCTCGCCCCCCAGGGTGCTCCCTGCCGGCCTGGAACGCGGCGCCCTCCCCTCGTGCCCCGCAGCACGCTCGGGCCTGCAGACGAGGGGCCGGGCTCAGGGGGACGCCTCCTGCCCCAGCGACACCTCGCTCCCGAGTTATCCTGGCGGCTGTTTATGAGTCTGACACAGACTGGGTGTCGGTGGAGGCACGGACTCCCTTCCGGCAGCCAGCCCCCAGGTCCCCGAGAGCCATGGGCACCCCCCGTTCTCAGCGACGGGCCTCACGCCCTGGCTTCCAGGAGGCTCCGAGGAGTGCCTGGGTCCCCGGGACGGCTGGGCATAGACAGGTGACCAGGAGTCCAAGCTGCGGAACGTGGCGGGTGGCAGGGGACGTGCGTGCAGTTCATCCCCGTGGCCTCCTGCCCCCTGCTGCTCTGGTTCCCCACACACACCTGCACCCGGGGAAGGGGGCTAGTCAGGGCCTGAGCTCAGAAGCGGTGAGCGGGGTCACTGTCTGGCGTGCCGTCACTCATGGGGCTGCACAGAGGGTGGGGCAGGTTTAATCCTGATTTCAGGCAGCGAGGAAAACCGGTGTGGCCAGATGACTGTGGCCGTCTCAGGTACAGGCGGTGGCTGCCCCCATGCGTCTCCCCTCCACGTGGGGAGCAGGGAGGTTTAAACAAAATAAAAACGAACCACCAAGCCACTCTGGCACCCAAATTTAGACACTACCAGCAGATACTGGAAATGTTCTAGCTCATTCTGAGTAAGAGGACAGCACTCCTTTTTATTCAGATGCAGACCCCCTGCAGGACGGAACGCGGAGCCCCCATTTCTGCCTGGGCCCCCAGGAGAAGCTCACACCACGGAACGGGCCCCCAGAAACAGCGACCAGCGGGACCAAGGGCGTCCAACCCCCTGGAGGTCCAGCATCCTCTCGGCGGCACCCACCTGCCGGTGACAAGGCCACTTCCAGTCAAGGGCATGGGTGGTGAGCCGGCACCTACACGGGGTCCTCCGTCCCCCGCTCAGACCTTGGGGGCTGGGTTAACCTTTTTTTCCATCAAGTGGAAAATACAACAGCCTTAAAATGAAAAATAACCAAAAGAGCGGCTTCCTGAAGTTATGCAGCCCCCCCAGCCCCGCAGGGTCACCCAGTCCCCGTGGTGGCATCCCACCGCCCGGGGCCTGGCTTCCAGCGTCTCTGTTTGGACGCGGCCCTCTGGAAGGACAGCCAGCAGCCTCCAATGCGAGGCCCGCTGCGCACTGCGTCCCACCAGACTGGACACAGCATCTGCGCCGCTGGGCTCCTTCCCGATTGAGGACGGGGTGGGAACTCCACCTGCCCCGTCACTGAGCCACATGCTCCCGAAAACACAGGGGCTGGTAGCGTCCTCACCTCCCCCTCCCCTGACCACGTCAGGGACCCAGCTCGGCCGTCCGCGCCTGGGCAGTGGGTCACCGCTGGGGAGGGTGAGCTGGCCGCCCTGTTTTAGCCTTGGACGAGGCCCCTGCTGGCCCCACGGGAGACGAATGAGCCAGTCTGGACGGAAGCGAAGGGCCGGGCCGGCCTGCTCGACACCGTTACTGTGCGGAGGGGCCGGGGGGAGGGCGGGAGGCTGGCGGGTGGGCTCCACGCCTGGCCCTTGGCGTACGACCCCGCTTCGGAGCTTTCATCCCCTGACAACTTCACGCAGGAAAACACGCAGACCCTCTGATAGCGTGAAATCGGAAACAAAGCCGGGGCACAAAGAGGCCGACCGGCCGTGGCCGCCGGTTCTCTCTTCAGCCACAAACGTGCGCGTACGACCGACCCCCGA